GTTAGCTTACTTTTATTTTGGTTAATATTTTTCCAATAGACTATAGCCTACTCAATCAACATCAATATAAATTGGGGTGAGAATATAATGCGTCAAACTTCAAACATTTTCAAAGTGAACAGGCCTGGTTATAGGCTAAACTTTGTAGAAAGGGTAAATCACGTAAGAAAGCTAACAAGGGATTATATCGAAGCATGGCAATAAATAAAAAATGTTGATCAGTTATGTGGTGCAGGTGTAATAACAACACGGAACAACCAGGCTATAGACATAGAAGTCCTACCTAACCAAGCACCCAAGCAGCCCGGCTATATCAATAGTAGAAAGCACGTCATTAAGAACATGCAGATGTGCGGTAACTCTTGTGATCACTTACCCAAGTTAATAACATCAATTTAGCATAATTTGTTAATTTTAGGCTGGGTATCTTTAAAGGGCCAATCCGCAGTTGAAGCAATATCAAAGCGGATACCCTCCTCTGTTTTGGAAAAAAAGATGAGGGAGTGCCTTAAGAAATGCAACCCTCTCAAATTCATAGACAGAGCTATGGATGCAAGGACTGCATTCATGCTTTCAAAATGATCGTTTAATTCATGTTTTGAGGCTATACATTTTTTAAATATTTTAGTCATTTAGCAGACGCTCTTATCTAGAGCGACTTGAAGTTAGTGAGTGCATACATTTTTCATGCTGGCCCCCCGTGGGAATCGAACCCGCAACCCTGGCGTTGCAAGCGCCATGCTCTACCAAGTGAGCTACAGGGGACCTGTACACCTATACAGTGTTTACATTTACAGTGTTTAGAAACATTAGAGTAAAACAAGGTTATTTGTGGGGTTCTGAGGGGGTGTGACATTAGAACTAAGCTCATGAGGAATTTATAAGGTATATTATTCAACAATCAATGGATATATCATTAATTTAAAAGTCAAAAAATGGAGTTAGCAACTGTAGATTGCCCCTCTAAAGCACTTTGTGAAAACTGTAAAAAGGGATTTAGCCTATAAAATTAAGTTTATTTACTGATTGAGTTTTAAGCATTTTCGGTTGTGAAGTTTTTTATAAAGGGAGTTCAGTGTGAATCCTATTATTTTTTGTTGTTGTATTTTATTAGGATCCCCATTAGCTGTTGCTCAAGCAGCAGCTACACTTCCTGGGGTCCACACAAACATGAAACATGACATAAAACGAATCAATGAATCAATCCACTTACAGATGTATTTATTTGCATCATACTTTGACGGATGAAAGAAAATGAAAGAGTAGGCTAGTGGGGTTTCATGCCCATGCATACAGACAGATCAAATTATTTATGAGATGGTGGGACGTATAGGCCTCTTAAGAAAATAACTCGTGTTCGTTGTAGAAATTAATTTGATCTAATTTTGTATTTGTGGTAGGCTGTAGGCTGTACTTCACTCTACTTTTGTGGGCAGACTGACTGATGGTCTATATTAGGTTTGGTGGAAAGAGGAAGGTCTATTGTATAACACACAACTTTTGTAAATGGTTTAATTTGGTAAGATAGATTGACATCGGAACACTGCTAGGCCTAATAAAGCTAGGCCTAATAAAGCTAGGCCTAATAAAGACCAATAGAATGGCAATTGCAAAACAAAATTTGGAGGAAATAATGTAACATATTCCAAAGGATTCAGCATAAATAAATATGTATCCATTCCATTCATATAGGCCTATTTATTTTTGTGTCCTATGTGTCCCATGTGGCTTTTTGAACGTAGTAGCCTACGTTTTACACTGGTGAATTGATTTGCTGTAAATATGTCTAATGTCTGCAGACTTTTCTCCAGACCTTTCGTGTTTTTCAGATATTTGTAATCTATTCTATTCTTGAACTAATTTTCGTTCACCATTTTAGTCTCACTTTAATACAATCCAACGATGTTCAAAAGTAGGCTATGCTATATGCCTGGTTAGGCCGTACAGTCTCTCTCTAATTTTCAGGACGAGTAGGCCTACCAACCAAATGTTTTCAATCATACAAAGACAAACGAAAAGTTAGATATTTTCTGAAATCCAATAAAAGTGGAATATATATTTGTGCATTTGAGTTGCCCATATTTATACCAGAAAACATAAACTGTGTGTGTGTGTGTGTGTGTGTGATGAAAGCACTCAACGTTTACAAGATAATAAGGCTATTTCAAACAAGATCATTATTACGCACGCGACCCGTGGGGTGAAAAGATTTACATTGCAAAGTAATAAAAACATAGTTGTGGCACATATTAACACACCTGTATACATGTTCTATATTAACAATTGCAGGGCTATATGGTCAATTTCTTTCATTTTAGCACTCTGAGTTTGTATGGCATTGCATAGCCATATTTTACTTTATTAACAAGTCAATAGACACCTTTTACAGCCAATCAAATTCATATATCTCAGTCTGTCGGGCGGCTCCCCCTGCATATATTTTTCGCCTGTGAAATGGCAATAGTCAGAATTAGTCATGTTCCCGCCCCTGCTTGACCCTTTTTTTAAGGAATTATTTGTATAATTTAGCACAATCAAATATGTGACCTCAGCCTCCAATAAGCAGGTTGCGACCCGGGGTTGTGTGAGTGTAGTGCCGTCGGCGATGGCTCTGCGATGGCTCTACATTGGCTGCCTGGCTTGCGTGTTACATCATCACGCATGCTGCTGTCCTCCGGTGGCCCAGTGAACTGTCTCTGAGCCGTGCGCTGCGCGGAGTGGTTCTAGCTCAACTACACGCATTTCCTCTGCGTCAGGGGAAGCAAGTCGTGGCGCCATAACACGCGGCCGGGCAACGGGGATGCGCATTTGTAGTCACAGATGGATCACGCACGCCAAACAGTGGCCCTTCCATCCGAGAGAGAGAGGAGACCTTTCTCTCCGCTTGTCGCCCGCCCATCACACCACAGCATTGTTGTTGTGAGGATGAGGCCTTCTGAAAAACAGCTTCCCAGCCTTTCCTCACAAACACCTGCTTCGAATATTGACTGGCATATTTAGTAAAGAGATGCTGGTCTTTTGTTTTAGCATCATCCAAATTAAGATCATATAGCCAAAACGTAAACATCATGATCCTATTATTATCCATAGGCTCATAATTGTGAACAGTGGCTCATGGATCTAATGATATGGCTTCTTCTGCTATTAGATATGTGCTAGGCCTAATTTCTAATGATGCATAATTGCATGATAATTACGTTGTGCCCATGAGGCGCGTTTTAATATATAGGCTAGTCCTTTTTTATTCACATATGTCCCCATGTCTCCTAATTCTCATTAAATCATCTTATTTGCTTTTTTATAAAAAGCCACGCCATGGCGCATGTCTGTATACTATAGCTGTGGGCTATGGATGTGAAGGAGTAGGCTATAGCCTTGCTGACCAATACGTCTCGCTTCCTCATGGCAACTGTGACAAGTAGGCCTATGAGGAGATAATGAAACGGTCGAGGAGGAGTGTTTACTCAAGAGCCCGAGCCAGCTGCCTCTGATCACCCGTGATAATCACCGTACTGCAAAATACAGTCTCTGTCACCCAAGTGACCTCGGCCTGTCCACCACGAGTAATTACGAGGATAAATGTATGAGAGGGCAAATGGACTTGTAGGCCCAAGGTTTATCATCTAACCCGTGCATGGAGCATGGAATTACATTCACACACATAGGCCACTCACAGGATGCCTAAACTTTGGCTGCTTTATTTGCGTAAAGATAGATGTTGAAAAGCTTGAACATAATATTGATTCAGAATGTTAATCGTAGAGTTGTACATGTTCTAAAAGTCACACACACACGCACAAACACACACAGTATAGAACATAGCAAAGTTTCTTATTTAGGCCTATAGGTGTGAAGTTGATCCTGCACCCCAGGGCCTGTTGAAAGTAATGGTGTTGGTTTGGGCAATGTTACACTGAAAGTGAATTATTATTTAATGTTCTTACAGCTGATTCTCACTAATATCTTTCAGTATTTGTGCTAAAACCACCAGTAAAAGTTGGAAAAGATGTAACAGAGGAATACACTCTGTTGTTGCTTTGTATATGGGAACCAAATAAAATGGGTAATTGTAACAGCAATTCCTAGATGTATTTATATTATTATTATTATTATTATTATTATTATTATTATTATTATTATTATTATTATTATAAACAGCAGCATTCGAGTAGTTGTAGTAGACCTATTCATGTATTATTATAAAGGTAGTAGCCTAGCAGTACTGATATTAGTATTATGTGCACTGTTGTTCAGGCCTATTTTTACATTTTCCACTCAATAAGTAATAGCCTACATTGTCTTTTACTTTCTGGGAATATAATTCTTAACAAAAATGAAAATGATAGGTCTTTTAAAAACAACAACACTTCATCCACGTGATCTACTGTGGGCCTACATTAGGCTAATTTCTAGACTGAGATTATTACTTACTCAATCAATTACTTTCCAGGCAAATGTATTTTTTTGTAAAACAATATTTATTCTTATTGAAAAACAAACCGTGTAAAAAATATCACACTCGGATTATACAATACTTTCCAAAGAATGTACAACGTTTTATTACTGAAATAAGCACACACTGCATATAAATGAATGACCTTCATCTTTGTGTCTTTTAAATACAAAGCACAAATCAAAACAGTAAAAATGTTTGAATTTGCCAAACTAAAAAACATGTGTGTGTTTGACACATATACATTGTTTTAGACATGTGATCATTTATAACCTTTCATTAAGTCGATATCCTGATACGCCCTAGACTTAAACGAATCACTTCATAAACAACGAAAAGTTCGTGGAGAGAAAATGAGATTGACACTAAAATGTTATTAACATAAATATAGCCTAATATCTTTTTACAGCATGAATAGGCACGAATAGTGTTAATGTCCATCATTCAGCTGCTTGTTACCAAAACAACATACAAAAATAATCCTACCTTCAAAGAGGGGGCGTTTTAGTTTGTGTTTCTTGAAAACTTTGAAGTTAGTTTATAGAAATTAACAGCCACTAGTACCGTTCAGAATTCTGTTGGGAAAGTTCTCGACCGTGTGTAAAACAGTTCCTGGGTGCATACTCGGCGGCTGGTTGGGCGACTGTGGCGCGAGGGAAGACGATAACATTGGAACAACAGGAGAAGTCCGCGAGGCACAGTGAGAGTGCGCAGGGCTCAGCGACCTCCCAATGATACTCTCTATGGAGAAGGGAGAGCGCTGGACAGGCGAGCTGGACTTGGCTGCAGTGTGTATGGGTGAAACCAGGCTGGGACTGAGCTGGGGAAAGAACATGCTCCTGGCTAAGTCACTGGAGGTGGGCAAGGACGGTGCCGGGATAATGGTCCCAGTGTGTGAATGCCTGGACTGTTGCTGCTGCTGAAACGCGAAAAGCGCAGAGTGTGTGTGGTAGGACTGCAGCTGGATACCGTAGCCGCAGCCGTAAGGTCCATAGCCATACGCAGCAGCCGGGATAAAACTGTTATGCTCCCGCAGCAAGTCCTGCTGCTGCTGCCGTTTGAAGCGTTTCCGTCGTCTCAGAAAGCTACCGTTGTCGAACATATCGGCGGACTCTGGGTCTAGGGTCCAGTAGTTCCCCTTCCCGGGGTTCCCGGGTTCCCTCGGTATCTTGACGAAACAGTCGTTTAGGGACAAGTTGTGTCGGATGGAGTTCTGCCACGCCGGGAACTTTTCCCGGTAATACGGGAAACGATTGCTAATGAAATCGCAGATCTCGCTGAGGGTGAGCCGCTTCTTGGGGCTCTGGAGAATGGACATGGTGATTAAGGCGATGTAGGAGTATGGGGGCTTCACCAGGATGTTCTTACTGGCTGGTTTGTACGGATCCCGGGATGAGGAGCTGTCCAGGCATGGCGGGGAGCCAGACAGGAGATCATCGTGCATCTGCGCCACCTCGTCTACGTAGGAGCGCGTCTGGCTGTCCCCATCCTCCCCCTCGCCGACCACGTCGATATCGGTCTCTTCCGAAAGGATGGAGGCATCCGACATCTCGGAGCTCAGAGTCATGGCTCACGGCTGGCTATGCAGAGCGCTGCACTGTGCTGTGCGCTCCCAGATGCTACGGCGGATAGGAAGAGGAGATGCTGCCCGTGCTACTCTGCCCTCTTTCAAGACAACTCATATGAGGGGATGAGAGGAGCACGCCGGCGGTAAGAGATGTCCCTTTTTCCAACCACTTTCATATGTTTTAGGGATTTTTTCGTTGTTCAGTAGCGCACCATTCGGATGGTAGTTTGAAGTGTGTGTAAAGACCTGAAAAAGGCCGAACCTGAATCCTAAAGAGGGCGGATCTTCCATCGCGCTTTATACCAGAGCTCTGATCACATGGCGAAGGGACGTCACCAAAGAGGAAAAAATAGCAAAAAATGGTTATTTTAAAAAGAACCGTGGACGATTTAAAAAGTTTGATTCTCTTTTTGGTGGTCATCTTGGTATAGGCTACACATATGGTTCGTCTAAAGCTTTCATTTCAGTTTTCATTTCTGCATGCAGACCAAAGCCCATGCAGGTCTATCCCGTTTAGATACTAATTTATTGTGATAAAAAGCTCTAACATGATAGTGGAATTGTATTTTTGAAAAAAGTAGGCATATTTATAAAGTTAGGGCATTTTAGAAATTCCGTTTCATCATAAAAAAAAAGTAATAGTTGAGATAATTAATGATTTATAGCCTTCATCAAAACTAAATTATGTGCGTTTTTAAAATAAATTGTTACAGACGGCATTTCATGTCCCACTCTCCACGCATCATAGTTTGCGTGATCCGGTAGTTATCTAGATTATCCGCGAGCCATTTGTAATGGAAAAAAGTCAGCTGTTAACTTGCATCAGTCACGGGTCACGCAGAGCATGCGAGCAGCTCGAAAAATAAGGGCCTCTATCTCCCATGCACAGACTTTATAGCATTGAGTGAAGATTTTCAAAATAATTTGGAAAGAAAATCGAATAAATCTGTTTTTATGAGTTTATATAATTTTTTGATGAGATCGTGATGTTTAGGCATGGTACAAAATCATTTATTTGGGTTATCTCGATCATGTTATCTGCTGTAATATATTGTAATTGCCTGCATGTAGCAGTGTGAAACTTTCTTCCGTGATACGGCTCTGGGAAAAGAGTGTGTAGAGCATATCTCTAAAAGCGTTACAATCTGAATGTGCGTAATTGCTTTAATATAGTTTGAAGCTACACCAACATAGGCCTATATGATGCTTTTTGATTAATTAATTTGAAATATATAGTCCAAGAGAATATATCATTTATAATTATATTGTAAAACAGAACTTTTCATGATCTGAACTGATGTTTGCATGGAAAAAGTATGGAAAATGTATGCACTCACTAACTGTAAGTCGCTCTGGATAAGAGCGTCTGCTAAATGACTAAAATGTAAAATGTAAATATAATGTTTCAAAACATCTTCCCCATTGTGGTTTTCCTTTTCATTGCCTTTGCACGAGAAGTAGGATATAACTTATGATTTCTGCTCACCAATCAATTTTTAATTAAAGGCTATGGTTATATATTTCATTCTACAGAATCCCCTTTAACAACTTGGAGACAGTTACTTTCATGAAGTTGTGCAACTGTGAAAAATCCCAATTTTTTTGTTGAATGAACTTGGTTCATTTGTTTACTTTTGTGAATTTACAAAAATGTAACAATAGCAGTCTAAGCTGGGACTCACTTTGTATTGGCACTAAAATCATATAGGCTAGCCTAAATTATGCATGTATTTCACGCAAAACTAGAGAAATGTAAGACATATCTCTTGACGCAGGTAAAAGATGATCATATCTAATATATCATACCAATGTGGGGTGCATGAAAATAAATCAGTAGGAAATAAAACTTCCCATGATATAAAATACTTTTTCAAAGCGCTGAAAACCTACTAAACATCATTATATGTTGATAAAGAGCGTGCCTTTTTGCAACTATAAAGTACAAGTAAAAGTATATTTCAATGCAAATAGGATATGAATTAATGTTGTTATTATAATTTTTCCTTCTATGTCCCCCACTAAGTTATGTTGGTAAATTCAGAAAATCAATAGCCTACCAAAGTACTACAACAATAGAGGCTGTAGGCCTATAATAAATTAAAATTACATTATTTAGCAGACGCTCTTATCCAGAGCGACTTACATGAGCAATTAGGGTTAAGTGCCTTGCTTAAGGGCACATCGACAGATTTTTCACCTAGTCGGCTCGGGGATTAGAACCAGCGACCTTTCGGTTACTGGCACAACGCTCTTACCCACTAAGCTACCTGCCGCCCATCTGTTGTATTGTAGGGATGATAATGAATGGGTTTAGGGTCACTTTATGTCAATAAGAAAATATCTGGTGCTTTTTGATGACCATATAATAGCTACCCCATGGATGATTCAGTTGTATGACGATTTATGTTTATTTTACTCTGGCCTATCTACTGCTCCGTTTCCGTTGGACCAGCACCATCTAGCGGATAAAAAGTCATCACTCTTTCAACAGACGACTACTTTGACAAGTTCAGATTTCAAAAATTTGACATTGACAGCACTTTTGTTTTCCCTTTCGTTATTTTCTATGTAATTTGCATAATATTTATATTCCAGTAACAGTTTATCATTTACATGCAAGCCTTTGCAGTCTCACAAATTAACCAGTTGTTGGCTGACAATTGGCTCTTAACCTCGCCAAAGGGCCATAGAACTCTCTCAAATACACATCTCTCTCAGACAGGTATTAATACCATTTTTGATGACTATCGAAATAATGGTCTTTCGATTTAACTCTTCAAAATGAACACAACAGTGATATAAAATCGTTTTTCAGTCATGCCTACAAACATTTTTGAATTATTTGTATATCACTAGTGTTTGTTTATTAGTTTGTTTGTGCTAAATGCCAAACGTATACCCTAATAACCATTGTCCTAAGAGGGATATTAAACTGTCTTTATTGGAAAATAGATAAGATTGACCACAATTAGGCATACATTTTGCCACATGCACTACATTATATGGACACAAAGCAGTTTTAGGTAGTAAAATAGCAAGGTAAGCCTACGTGGATTGAATATGACATGTTTTATTCCTGTAAGAAAATATTAGGCTTATAAAGAATCTCAGTTGATGCTGACCGTTTCTGGCAACTGAATTGACACCATATGGAAACGAAGCCTTGTTGAACAGTGGAGATTTAAAATAATAATAAATACACTACCGGTCAAAAGTTTTAGAACACCTACTCATTCAAGGGTTTTTCTTTAGTTTTACTATTTTCTACATTGTAGAATAGTAGTGAAGACATCAAAACTATGAAATAACACATATGGAATCATGTAGTAACCAAAAAAGTGTTAAACAAATCAAAATATATTTTATATTTGAGATTCTTCAAATAACCACCCTTTGCCTTGATGACAGCTTTGTACACTCTTGGCATTCTCTCAACCAGCTTCATTAGGTAGTCACCTGGAATGCATTTCAATTAACAGGTGTGCCTTCTTAAAAGTTAATTTGTGGAATTTCTTTCCTTCTTAATGCGTTTGAGCCTTTTAGTTGTGTTGTGACAAGGTGGGGGGGGGGGTGTATACAGAAGATAGCCCTATTTGGTAAAAGACCAAGTCCATATTATGGCAAGAACAGCTCAAATAAGCAAAGAGAAACGACAGTCCATCATTACTTTAAAACATGAAGGTCAGTCAACACAGAACATTTCAAGAACTTTGAAAGTTTCTTCAAGTGCAGTCGCAAAAACCATCAAGTGCTATGATGAAACTGGCTCTCATGAGGACCACCACAGGAATAAAATACCCAGAGTTACCTCTGCTGCAGAGGATAAGTTCATTAGAGTTAACAGCCTCAGAAATTGCAGCCCAAATAAATGCTTCACAGAGTTCAAGTAACATACACATCTCAACATCAATTGTTCAGAGGAGACTGTGTGAATCAGGCCTTCATGGTCAAATTGCTGCAAAGAAACCACTACTAAAGGACACCAATCAGAAGAAGAGACCTGCTTGGGCCAAGAAATACGAGCAATGGACATTAGACCAGTGGAAATGTGTCCTTTGGTCTGGAGTCCAAATTGGAGATTTATGGTTCCAACCGCTTTGTCTTTGTGAGACACGGTGTGGGTGAACGGATGATCTCCGCATGTGTATTTCCCACCGTAAAGCATGAAGGAGGAGGTGTTATGGTGTGGGGGTGCTTTGCTGGTGACACTGTCTGTGATTTATTTAGAATTCAAGGCACACTTAACCAGCATGGCTACCAAAGCATTCTGCAGCGATACGCCATCCCATCTGGATTGGGCTTAGTGGGACTATCATTTGTTTTTCAATAGGACAATGACCCAACACAGGCTGTGTAAGGGCTATTGCACCAAGAAGGAGAGTGATGGAGTGCTGCATCAGATGAACTGGTCTCCACAATCCCCCGACCTCAACCAAATTGAGATGGTTTGGGATGAATCGGACCGCAGAGTGAAGGAAAAGCAGCCAACAAGTGCTCAGCATATGTGGGAACTCCTTCAAGACTGTTGGAAAAGCATTCCATGTGAAGCTGGTGAGAGAATGCCAAGAGTGTGCAAAGCTGTCATCAAGGCAAAGGGTGGCTATTTGAAGAATCTCAAATATAAAATATATTTTGATTTGTTTAACACTTTTTTGGTTACTACATGATTCCATATGTGTTATTTCATAGTGTTGATGTCTTCACTATTAATCTACAATGTAGAAAATAGTAAAACTAAAGAAAAACCCTTGAATTAGTAGGTGTTCAAAAAGTTTTGACCAGCAGTGTACATTCGTTATAGTCCTATTCCTTTTTTAAATTACTATTTTTGACTTGCAATAACCTAGTCTTGGAGAAGGCTATGGATAGACTTTGAGCTCAATAAATTATCAGCCGGTCTCTGGTAAGTGACACTTAAAAGTTAATAGGTGAAAGTTGATAAAAATGGCAATTATGTATTTTAATGAATCATTTTAATCTGCACTGACACTCTCTGAAGATGTATCAAATGGGTTTTGAATTTACTTTCCTAATTTAGATCTTTGGTTGGTTGCATTTAGGCCTATGGCAGATTATCAAATGCAGAGTTCCAATACATTTGATTTACCATACAAAGATGCAGAGAAGTGTATTGCTCTTCCAGTGAGATGATACGAACCGTATGCTCTCTCCTCTCACCTGTGCTAACACTTCCTGGTCTCCTGATCACCTGACCTGTGTATCTGTATAGGCTACATAGTGTGTAATAGTGACCTATAACCCCATGTGAGAGTGTCACTGCTGTACAAAACCTAGTTCAAACATTCCTAGCCAGACAGCATATACACAACAGATTCAATTAGCGTTTAAGCAGGCCAAAATGGATTCTACAGGTAAGGTGAACAGAGTTTTCATCACATGAAGATCCATGAAGCATGTGGAGGGTTATGTTAGGCAGTTCTATTCAAATCTGGACAAAGAGACACTTTGGCCAAAATGGGTAGGCTATCATTGTTTGCTTTGTTTGCTTTAGTCTACATTAGGCTACATTTTTGTGCTCTCATTACCATGGGAGTTTTGTACTGGACTGGATGTTGTTGTTGTTGTAATGCTTTGAAAAGTAGCATTCCACAAACAGGTATACACGTTTGCCAGTGTGTGTAGGTTACATATAGGCTAACTGTTATTGCATTGTAACAGGCTTTAGGTATGGAATCCAATGTTTAGGCTGGATAGGCTAGGCTTGGTCTAGATCTAAGCTACGGTGGCACTTTCCACCTTGTTCTCACACACAGAATGAGAGGGCCTTCAATATTACATTACGACTGATAATGCAGGATGTAATGCAGCTTATCACCTCATAGCCATTACTTCTAAAACATAAAGATAAACAAGTGAAAGGTAGGTCTACTCAACAGAATAATTAGCTGAGTTTTATTCTATTACTGATGAGTAACTACAGATAACTTTATTGGCCAATTGCACACAAGGTCCAACCGAAATGTGACTTCCGCTTTTAAGCCAACCCCTCCGAAAGACACATAGGCCTATATACAGATGTTTTGGAGAGGTGTGGGGGGCTGCCACACTGGGCGCTGTTGTGCCTTGCTCAAGGGCACAACGGCAACCCTCCAGTTGCCAGCTCACTTCCCACTAGATTTTTCCAGTCGGATCTGGGATTCAAACTGGCAACCCTCCGGTTGCTGGCTCGCCTCTCTAACCACTAGGCTACCTGCCGGTTAGAAAGGCTTGCTATTCAATCTAGTCATAAGAATAATATAATTTCACTGAAACAAGCGCTGTCTTGGCGAGGGCAGGGCACTCCCTTGGTCTTTCAGTTAGAGGAAGTGTGCACAAGCTAAGTATGCGTCAGAGAGAGAAACCAGCACGAGGTGAGCACATGAAAACCTGTTACAGATGTAAAGGTGATCACATGGCAAGTGAGTGCCATTTTCAGGATAAAAAGTGTGGTAAACAGGGACACATTAAATGACCGTGTAGGGCTAAATCACCTGCAGAGAGTTCCAATCCAAAAGGGGGATGAAAGCAAAAACAAGAAAAAGGAGTAAATAAACATGGGACACTTCACATCAGCGGGGAAGCTGAACAAAACAAAGAGAAAGAAGAGGATATGTTTACAATGTACAGCATGTCAGAGAACATTCCAAAAGTGGCTCCTATCACATTCAAATTGAATGAGTCAGATGTGAAGTTTGAAGTGGACACATGGTGCAGTGTAACCATAATGAACAGGTCAGAGTACTCAAAGTTGTGGAAAAGTACAAAAGTTCCAGACTTAAAGACTTGTTCTCTGCAGCTCAAACCGTACACAGGTGAGAGAGTAGACACATTAGGTGCAGCTAATGTAACTGTGCAGCACAGAGACACAGTGACTCCGCTACCTGTAGTAGTCGTATCAGGCACTGGACCAAACCTGCTAGGTCGGGGCTGGATAAAATAACTGAAGTTAGATTGGGGAACAGTAAATCAGATTGTTGCAGGTCAACAGTGGACATTGGAAGATGTGTTGACAAAACATGAGAATGTGTTTCAAATCTATGTAGACAAGGAGGACAAAGCAAGACCTGTACAGACCATAAACCTCTCTTTTCAATGAAAAAAATGTATATTTTCAATGAAATAAAGGCAGTTCCACAGATGGTGTCTCCGAGAATACAGAGGTGGGCAGTGACATTGAGGGCGTACAAGTATGTCATCGTCTTCAAGGCAGGAAAGTACCACGGGAACGCAGATGCCTTGAGCCGTCTTCCACTGCCGTACACACCCATCATAACAGCTCAAGAGGACAGAGTGCTGATGGTCGAGGACACAGACACCACACACGTGACTGCAGAGCAAGTGAGAACCTGGACAGGTAAAGATCCAGTACTGTCTAGAGTTAGAGAAGATGTGCTAAGGGTATGGTCACAACAAACAGAAGGGACTGAATTCACACCATACAGTGTCAGGGAAACAGAGTTGAGTGTACAGGATGGTTGTGTTTTGTGGGGAGCACGAGGGATTATTCCACAGCCAGCACGCCAGGCTATCCTACTGCAACTACATCAGACTCACCCTGGGGTCTCGCGTATGAAAGCATTGGCTAGGAGTTACTTATGGTGGCCAAAACTAGATGATGAGATAGAGAATCTAGTCAAGACATGTAACACGTGTCAGGAACACAGAAAGGCACCTGCAGCAGCCCCGCTCCACACCTGGGAGCTCCCAGAAAAACCCTGGAGATGATTGCACATAGATTACGCAGGACCATTCATGGGGGAAATGTTTCTGATATTGATTGATGCGCATTCTAAATGGGTGGATGTGTATCCTATGAGTTCTGCTACATCCACTACTACTATAGATTGCCTACGACAGAGCTTCAGTAACCAAAGGATACTGGAGATGGTGGTGAGTGACAACACAACCTGTTTCGTGAGCACTGAAACACAAGAATTCTTTAGAAACAATGGTATTGTGCATGTGATATCAGCTCGATATCAACCATCTTCAAATAGTCTGGCGGAACGCACAGTACAGACATTCAAAGAAATGATGAAGAAAAGTGCAGAAGGGAGCATAGTAGCATAAGTGTCACGTGTTCTGTTCATCTACAGAATAACACCTCAATCCACAACAGGACTTTCTCCTGCTGAGTTGTTATTAGGTTGTAGACTACGCTCCACACTGGACCTAGTCCATTCAGACCTGAAAAGGAAAGTTGAACGCAAGCAAAACAGACAGAAAGAGAACCATGACAAACGTACCAAGGGCCAATGGTTTTGGAGAGGGGGATCCTTACCAGAAATGTCAGTCACGGGCCAAAATGGATTTCTGGATTCATAGACTCAGTGACTGGTCCTGTCTCCTACAAGGTAATGGTGGGAGATGGTAAAGTGGTTCGCAGACATGTTGATCAGATTCTTACCAGACATGAGGGAACAACAAGTGAGTTACTTGGCAGAGGACAGGCTGTTCTGTAGCTATCCAAGTGCTTCTGTGGTGCACGTCCCACAGACAGAGACTGTAACAAAGGAAACAGTTCAAGAAGAGGAGAACACAGTTTCAGAGTCAGATACTCTGAGCCCAGCTCAGAAACAGCTGGTGGCTCCTCCACCATTGAGAATGGACACTGTCCCTAGTGTTCGTCGTTGAAAGAGGCATACAAAGCTTCCAAGCCTCTTAAAAGACTTTGAACTGTGAACAGGGTAAACTAAAATACTTGTGAACATGTGAAATGTAATATCTATTGTCATGTTTATTGTTTACACTGACTTGTTTAGTTCAGTAGAGTACATAACAAGTTAAAAAGAATGCTGTTTCAGTTAAAGGAACTTTATTTCAGCATTAGCGCATTAACGCAATAGAAGAGCATAGGGAATGTCTTACTATGTTGTATATCCCAAAAAAAGTTTTTTGGGGGGGAAGATTTTATATTGAAATCTTAATAAGACGAGAGAAATGTGGTAATGTGGTATTAACACGTCATTACACATACACGCCACCAGGAGGTGTAGAATTTAAGATGAGTACATATAATCATTGTTAGAGTACTGGGGCGCACCAATACACACGGTGAGTGCAGCTGCGACTGTCTGCCTGTTACACTATGCTCCGGGTTAGTAATAAAGTAATCAGTTTATAAAGAGCTACTCCCTTATTTCTTCCAAGGCATAAAGAGTTCCATGGGTTATTACAGATAGGGCCATTCCTCATTCCCATGAATGAACTGGCCCATCTGCGACTGAGGTATATGAACGATATCAGGCACTCTTGCGGTTGCACCTCTGCCCGTACGTCATTTCCTCCAGCCTCTCTCGTTTCCATCTTGCTCCCCGCGTGTGCTCGCTGCTAGTGTGCAGGTCAGTTAGGAGCTCTAAAATACCTTATTTCCTGCACTGTTTCTGCCATTCTCCAACTGCACACGGTAAACAATGTCCTTGGTTATCAGACCGGTGAAAATCGTGGAGTTTGAACACAAGTGGACTTGGTAATAGAGTGTAGAGAGCTGGGAGGTGAGGTCCGAGTGACAGGCCCCATACCGCTGTAGCTAATCGAATTTAGCAATCTTGCTAAGCTAGCATGTTAACTTGGTAGTTAGCAGAGGCAAAAAGCCCGATACATCGTTATCTGGCTTTAACTTTTCAGTGGTCATCGTCGACATAACTAAAATGTATGTAGATAATTAGCTAGCAGCGGTGTAGATGGCAATGGCTTTGCATTTTCTCGCCATATTCAAGTTCGCTAACATCAACAGTTATAACGGCCTATTAGCTAGCTACCACAGTGCCGTTTATTAGCCAGCTAACTAACGTTAGGTCTCATATCTAAACAGAAATAACTACTACAGTTCATTGATTTAAGCCGTGGCGTCTTTGCTTCTTTTGGTTGCAGGTCTGTCTAACGACGTTGGCAAGCAATGAAGTATCTAGCTTTTTGATGTTCTATTACGTTTGCTAGCTGATACTGCTCAGCAGGCAGTTAGGTAGCTAACGTAACATATCGCAGTGTTGCCTTTCAAACTTCTCAACCATTATCTTGATTTGCTGTTTTTGGGATGTTTGCTAATTTACAGTACATCAACTGTAGACTCACTTGTGTGGGGGTGTGCCTTCAACTTGTGTTTTATGATCAAATTAAGTTAGGCTATATGTAACGTTACTGGTGTAGTCAGTGATGTTTGTAGCAAATATTTCCAGTAAGAAAAATACAGGCCTAACTGAGGCAGGACTTGTAAAAGTATTATAAATGTAACGTTAGTTAACCATAAATAAATAATCATAATGATATAATACCGGTAACCTAAATACTGTCTATTGCAGATGAAAGAAATAATAATGAACCAAGAAAAACTTGCCAAACTTCAGGCACAAGTCCGCATCGGCGGCAAGGTAAGAAAATAAGCCATTTACACCAATCAATCAATTTCTTCCTGTTTTCCTTATTAGGCTCCTGATCATGTTTTTCACCTAGTAACACAACTATTTAAAACAGTCAACATGTTTAGAAAAATAACATGTCATTGTGAAGCTCATCTCACACCTGGTGTTAAAACAGCATGCACTTAAAACTGTCAGTTCTGTTTTACAGGGCACCGCTCGCAGAAAGAAGAAGGTCGTGCACAGAACCGCAACAGCAGATGATAAGAAACTTCAGTTCTCCCTAAAGAAACTAGGCGTCAACAACATCTCTGGTATCGAAGAGGTAAGGTCTGGTCCATGGTTAAAGACTGGCCCTTTTGCTCTCTGTAACCATCTCTTATAAAATGGACGCCAGAGTACTTGAATTGGTGTTAAATTGGAACATGCTGATCTCATTGAGAGCAGAGGGTTATTTTCAAATCACAACTTAGCTAGCCGCCATCTGTGTGAGTTTGCAGAAATAGAGATGTCTAGTGTGACTGCAAGGAACATGGAGTAACTATTCTCATTCCTCACAGGTGAACATGTTTACGAACCAGGGGACAGTGATCCACTTCAACAACCCCAAAGTGCAGGCCTCCCTGGCAGCCAACACCTTCACAATCACTGGCCACGCTGAGACCAAGCAACTGACAGAGATGCTGCCCAGCATCCTCAACCAACTAGGAGCAGACAGCCTGACGAGCCTCCGGAGACTGGCCGAGGCTCTACCCAAACAGGGTACGTGTTCCTGGGGGAGGTAGCTGGATGGCGAGGGGCTACTGGCCGAGGCTCTTCCCAAACAGGGTACATGTGTCTGGGGGACATTACAAAATAGGCTTCACCTCATCTGTTTGATTTGGCCGCAGGTACTAGACTTCTCTAGTGTTAGTGTATGAGGAGGCGGATTGGTAATAGAAACAGACAGAAATGCACAGTAATAATTTGAAAGTTTTTGCACTTGGGAGTTGAAGTAGGGCTGGAGGTTGTTGGATGGATTTTGAGCACTGTTCAGGCACTGACATTGTAATAGAAATGCAATTTGTTTAGAAATACTATTTGTTATTCATCATGATTGGATACAACTTCCTGAAGACCAGAGGCATTTGTACAGTGCTCTGCAAGAAGTTCGTAACATCTCTTATGTCTTCCTCACAGCTGGAGATGGAAAAGCACCAATCGCCCCCATAGAGGAAGAGGATGATGATGTTCCAGGTGAGTCATATGAAGAGTAGTCTCAAAGTGCTGAGGTCATGATTGTTCGAGTTTCAATCTGAGGTTTACCCCAGTGTTTTACCCAAAAGGCTCAGACTTTTCTGTTTCCATCCATGTGGGCCGGCACCTGTGTCTCACTGGGCCATGGCTCTGGCAAACCTGCTCTGACTTTGGGCCAAGGTCAGGCCACTGGTACTTTTCAGCTGGCATTTACATAAAAATGGCTAACTGAACTTTAACCATTTCTCACAAAGCAACTGTCTTGATGCAAAAGTTGTTGATTCTGCTCACCCCAAGTCTTTAGTCACACCTGATGGAAACACAATTACACTAGTGACACACTGGCGTGGGGTAAGTCTTAAAGGAAAGATCCAAAACCACAAATTCCTTTAATTTACAGTGTTAACACTGTGAGAACAATATTTTTGTGAACAGATGTTTCATTTTGGCTTTATAATAAGGTTGGTAGCAACATGGAAAATCGTTGTGGAAGTCTGTTGCAGCTCAGGTCGACTACAAAATCCACAATACAATGCTCTCTATGGGCTGGCTAGCTAGGTAGGTATCTAGCTAGTTAGCTAGCAAACGTAGCTACACTCAATAATACCAAAGACAATATCAGCATGTAAAGTAGCTAGTTAGCTGTAAAATCGCCTAAACAAACTGCACTATCAATTTAGGAGTCTACAATCTCACCATGTTCAACCTGCAGATCGATGTGCCTCAGAGTGGAGTCTGACATTCGCAACGGCAGATATACTTTTGAGGAGATGGGGAAATGTTGCCCATGCTACGTCAATGGGCCGAGCGGTGCGTTCTTGGCGATTCTGGGACAAGGTGCGCTCTCCTTCAAGGAGTGAATGGGTGTCTATTGGGCGCTAGCTCAAAAACCCAACATTGGCATGAATTTCGTCAACAAAAAGTAGAACATTACAAATCTTTTCCAAGATGTGAGAATTAACTTGCTATCTGTAATATCGTGTAACTTTGGAATCGTGTTGTTGCGTACTCTCGAGGAAAATGGGCACGTGTCTCGACATGTAATCCCTTCTCAAAATCAGTTTATATGACGATTAGCTTTGCAACTGTGTGACGCAGCATGTCAACATGAACGCAAGTTGGCTGGGTGGGGCGTTATACGTTCATTCATTGGATTCCTATCTCCTTTCTCTAATATCTCTGGCAACTGCACCATGATATGCACCCTGGACTGAAGAGGCAGACAAATAGGAAAATTGTGCTAGACCCTCCGTTAAATTACACATTTCTTGAGGTAGGAATATTGCAAAAATGTGATCAATGGCTCATTCAAGAGAAGACATCCTCCCGAGTTATGACATCGGCCAGTATTGAAATCTGACATGTATGATAGACGTTTTCGCAATCTAAATGTCGTATTCCTATTAACTTCTAGTGTAGTGAGAGCGACTTTATCACAGTGCTACATCATACCAGCCGGATTTCTGCCTGCTTGAACGCCAATAACTCAGATAAACATGAAATGACCCAGGGAATCGATAGAACATCACTCAGATGCCCTAAAACAATCTAACATTCAAAATAGGTGAACCATTCCTTTTAAGAGCTCTCCACAGTGATTTCAGTCTATGTAAATGGAGCTACGGCGCGTTCCCAAAAATTCAGCTGCACAAAAGTACGTAGAACTACGTGGCGAGCTACGTACAGCATAGACTGTGTGGAGCACTTTAGGTGGAAGTGCAGCAATGGTGTGAGAGAATCACACCAGCCTCTTGCAGTAAATTTGATGCTGTCCCACTCCCACCCTCTTGGCATGGATGGACACATCTCCAGTTATTGGTTATTCTTCCTCTCTGCTTATTTGTACTTGACCATAGGGATTGTGTAGGTATCTTCAATAATGGACCTTGTTCTTAGCCTCTTGTAAGTTTGCTCAGTGTTGCGCTCCTATGTCTCAACATCACCCACATGTCTAGTTAGTATTCATGTTATACTTTCCCTGAAGTCTTACTCCAGAATAAGTTACATCTGGGCTTTTACTTTCCCTCTGATAATAAAACCTTGGCAGGTTTGCTTACTTTTGGGAAGTGAAGGGGGTCATGCTCAGGGGATCAAACAATGACTAGAGTAAATGGTGATGGGTGGGAGTCAGGTTGGTGGCTTTAGTGTTAGAAACATTGTTCGTTGTTTATGAGTTCTGAAAGCAGTTTGCTTTTCTTTGTGGAGAAAATGGGTCCAAACACATGAGGTTGCCATTACAATTACCCACAGCGTTTCCCAGGGCTATCCTTTTCCCGTAACCCAACGTTTTCTCAAACGTAACAAACGGTTGAAGCCCGATGACACGGGGTTAATGGTCTATGCCATCATGTTATTACTGGAGTTTAGTTTCCCTTTGTGTTCCCCCCACAAAAAAATATATTCAGACCTTTGGAATTGTTTCCATTTGAACCCTCAACCCCTCTGGGACAAATATGGACCCGACAGATTTCATTGAACAAATGGGACCCTCCTTGTGATCCTCAGTGCCATGATTTTTACATCTGTTTTCTTGAGTTCTGAGTGTAAAGGGAGAGCTTGTACCTGGGATCACATTTCAGATAAACTGTCATTTTTTTCTTAAGTGGTCTGAGATCAGTAGAAAGAGGCATGCATGTTTGGATTTAGGCCTGTTTCTTAACCTGACTGACATGTCCCTTACCCACCGTTGGCTCTTGTGTTGTTTTTAGATCTGGTGGAGAATTTCGATGAGGCTTCCAAGGATGAGGCAAACTAAAGAAATCAACAGACCTTCAGGAGTCTCAACAGGACTTGACTTGTTTGGATGGGGGCACTAGGCGTTCTTTTAATTTTTTTAGTTCTAGTTCTTGCCACCGATTCTCCAAATGCTATTTTGTGCACTGTGGTGTCCGTGTCCAGTTTGAGTCAGTGAGAGATTGTACGAAGTGTCTGAGGTTCGTGCTCTTCATATTCTCTTCAGCTGTTTCTACTATGTTACTAAACCTGATTTCTTTGCAGTCTGGCTGAAACAATCATACCTGGAATAAACATTTGCTATTGTCAATTATTAATATTATCTCTTACTTTATGGGGACATGGGTGATTATCCTCATCAGTTAATGTGTACTTTAAACTAACACAAATCTCATGTAACATTTAATTGCACCCTATGGTCGGGATTCATCCTAAGGCATGTTATACAGCAGTGCGCTGGACTGCCGACAATGTGACTTGAAGGTAATTTACGCTAGAGCCGACATGCACAGCATTTACTTTGACTTGTACAGATAAATGGGACATGATCTGTGCACTAAATTTGGTTAAGATGGTTTACACGGTTCATTTACAGTAACAAAAAGGCAGCACCAGCAAGTTAGTTCATATAAGGAAATCAGTCAATTAAAATAAATTCATTAGGCCCTAATCTATGGTTTTCACATGACTGTGCAGGAGAAACGCTCACTAATAGGGATGTAAATAAATGTGTGCACAAGTTGAGAATTCAAAAGGCACTCGCACATCTGAGCTATCTTTGTTGCAGGTGCATGGTAACAGTTTAAGATGAGAAAAAAAGAATCCGCACACTGCTCTTGCTAGCATAACTGCTACTTTAAGCTTTACGTATTTTTTGAAAAAGCTCTGACGAAGGCCTTGAGGCCGATACGTAAAGCTTCATAAAGAGCAGTGTGCCGGTTTCTTTCTGCACAAAAGTTGAGAAAAGCTTTTTGTGCGTATGGAAAATTTGAGGTTTATTTCAGCTCATGAAACATGGGACCAACACTTTACATGTTGCGTTTTATATTTTTGTTCAATGTACTTCATTTCACCACAACTGCAGTGTTAGAGTGCGAAATTATTGATATTGAGATGCGAGACTTTGCTCTGTCACACACAGTACGTGCACGGGTTCGCTGCATGCCGTTTACGTGGTAGCAAGGGCACCAAAACAGCATAGAAGTTGAGCCTGGCGCTTCAATGCTCTTAGTTGTTGCGGAAATTGACCCACTATGCTGGTCCTCTGTAGCTCAATTGGTAGAGCATGGCGCTTGTAACGCCAGGGGTAGTGGGTTCGATCCCCGGGACCACCCATACATAAAAAAAGTATGCACACATGACTAAGTCGCTTTGGATAAAAGCGTCTGTTAAATGGCATATTATGAAAATACCCTTTTCATGAGGGGCAGAATTCTCAAATGAAGTGTGCACTTAACTCAAGACTTTCACAAACATCTCCCATTATCTATGCATGATTAGTGCAAACGTTTGGGTTTATGCACTAGTTTTACATTTAGCTCAGAAGTTATTTACATTGTAACAAACCAAACACAATAGGGAGTCTACCCAAAACAGACATTTGGGATGCCTGTCTATCCATAAATACTCCCACATGCTTCATGAGCTTAACAGATGAGACAGTCTCATAGACATGCCTCACGATTGTCCTCAGCCATATTTCTTTCTTCATTATGGCGTCTGCTGTATTTCCATTCCCAGGCAGTCCCTCCTTGTGTTCCCCAGGTTAGTGGCTTTTCCCTGGGCTCTGGTCATTCTCGCACCCCCATCAGCAGCTTCAGTAGGTGGGCCTCCATCACCTGTTGAACTGATCAGAGAATAGAGGCATTTCAGCCATCACCTACCAATTCACAGAGAAATCATGCAAGATGGAGATGTGGAAGTAATAAAAAAAAGGAACTATCTGAAAGTTTTAGTATTGTATGAAAACAAAAAGGCAAGTATCTGGTAGAGTTGGTTAAAGGTCAATAGGAAAGCTAGGTTACTTAATCTGAATTGACAAAGAAAAGGACATAGGAACGCTATCCTCAAGCTGGGAGATAATTGAATTACACCCATTTTAAACATGAAGTCTCTGTTAATACCAGAGTACAAATATCCAAGACAGCTACTGGGTTTAGTTTGAGCATGACTTGAATGGGTGGGATCTGTTTCCATAACAGATGACATGTCTAGCCTTGGCATACACCATAAACAGTTGACTTCCTGGTTTGACTGATCCTAGTCAGGTCTAGTGGAACAGAACCGGAATCCTGTTAGAATCAGGTGATCATTCTTAGCTGGCTACATTTGCATAATTGTATCAAACCACAAAGTCTGATTGTGTAAGAGGATGTGGTAGGGGAGAGCGGGGGTTACTAGCCATGTTTCCATTAACTTGTCCAGCGATTATTTTTGTGTGAAAATTTCAACATAGAAAATAGATGTGACAATTGCCTGATACGGTGCATTTCCATGTAACGGTCTTGTGTCGATTAAAAACAGCTGGACGTAATGCCACACCTAAAAATAACACTTTCGCAAAAATCTAGTGTCTAATAAAAATGAAGTGGTTGGAGTGTTTCCATTATCCATTTAGGCAAATTGTGCATTAACAAATTGCTGACAGGTGGTGGGAGGGCATACAGGCTCTGTCTCAGGTAGGCCGGGAAAGCCAGCATGAATAGAATGCAAGAAATAAGCTTTTTGTGCTTTCAGCTCATGAAACAACGGCCCAACACTTTACATGTTGTGTTTATATTTGTTCAGTAGTTACATTTTTATTTAGCAAGCAGTCGAACAGATAAATGTTGGTCTTTAGAACATTTCTCCTATAGCTGCTGTTTCCATTACACATGTCGCAGTGAAACCTGCCTACTGTTATACACTGACTAGAAGGAACTCTGTCACCATATACCCTTGTGTTTCTTGAAAAATATTCCAATATGTAGTTAATAGAATAGTCTGTCTGCACCATCTATCTTTATGAAAGTAGACCGGGCATAAGACGTAATGAACTGCTATATTTCTGCTTTACATAGCCTATGTATGCATAGAGTATAATACCCCTTTAGTGAAAATATAGTCATGATATTTGAACCTGTTCTTCATGATGAGAAGTATATAGCCTAAATATGATATGTATGAGATGCATATTTGTATACCATTCCTATGGCCCATTGCCACAGCGTTGAAGCCAGAGTCGGACTCGATGGTGGGGTCGGCTCCACTTTCTGTGACAGGAAAGGTTTGAATTCATCAGATGACAGATTACAGACCTGTCTACACCAAAATACAGCCTACATCTAAACATAATTTAACATAAAAAAAGTCAGTTTCAGATAACCGCCACTGCTGTTGATAAGTACAGTCTATCAGCTGAGTGGAAGGTCTGTCAGTCAGCCAGCCAGTCAGTCCTTACCCAGGAGGATTTCCACACAGGGTACATGGTTCCCATGGACAGCGTAGAGCACGGGAGCCCCTCCGTTCTGAAACCAACCCACAAACACTGCATCACATTCGGGCAACAACTGGCAGCCTCCCCCAGAAAGGGAAGCTCACCACCGTCACCACATTCACATCACTGATTTAGGGGATGCATATCCATTTGTCTACATAAAGCCATACACAAGAATACAGGTAAAAATCCTGAATCAGCTAACTTTCCTACCCAGTCATATTCATTGGCGTTCACCCCACAGCCGATGAGCATCTTAACGATGTCTGTGTATCCCTTATTGCATGCCAGAGACAGAGCGCTCTCTCTGCCTTTAGCCAACCGGTTGGGGTCCGCTCCCTAAAGGAAGAGAACATAGAAGAGACCATAAGTGAGAAAAGAGTCAGGTCTAAACGGCCCATTGCTAATAGTCGAAACATGATTTCAACAATTTGTGGTGTTTTGCTGTTTTATGTAGTATGTGCATTTTGAAACAATATCTGACTGTATTTTGCTGCATATCTCTGTACCATGTTGTTCAAATGAATGAAGTAGTTTGCTGAGTTATTTGTCTCAACACGTCATTGTGCTTACGTTCTGAAGCAGGAACTCTACGACTGCTATCTGTCCGTGTGCTGCGGCCCACATCAGGGGGGTGAAGCCTTCCTCATCCTGCAGGTTAATCACTGTCTCTAAAGCCATACAAACAACAACATCAAAGCAATCAGTAACATGTTCCACATCTTTCTAGTCAACCAGTGAAGCCCTATATAGACATTCTTGAGTGCATATTGTTCTTATCTTAACGACTGTTAATTACAGTGCCTTCGGAAAGTATTCATACCCCTTGACTTTTGCCACATTTTGTTACGTTACAGACTTAACCTAAAATTGTTTTTTGTTTTTTTTTATGAAAACTGCAATCTACACACAGTACCCCTGATGACAAAGCGAAAACAGGATTTTTGAAATGTTTGCAAATGTATTCAAAATAGAAAACAGATACCTTATTTACATAAGTATTCAGACCCTTTGCTATGAGACTTGAAATTGAGCTCAGATGCATCCTGTTTCCATTGATTATCCTTGAGACGTTTCTACAACTTGATTGGAGTCCACCTGTGGTAAGTTCTATTGATTGGACATGATTTGGAAAGGCACACACCGGTCTATATAAGGTCCCACAGCTGATCGTGCATGTCAGAGCAAAAACCAAGCCATGAGGTCAAAGGAATTGTCCGTAGAGCTCTGAGACAGGATTGTGTCTTTGGCCTGAATGCCAAGCGTCACGTCTGGAGGAAACCTGGCACCATCCCTACGGTGAAGCATGGTGGTGGCAGCATCATGCTGTGGGGATGTTTTTCAGCGGCAGGGACTGGGAGACTAGTCAGGATCGAGGCAAAGATGAACGGAACAAAGTACAGAGAGGTCCTTGATGAAAACCTGCTCCAGAGCGCTCAGGACCTCAGACTGTGGCGAAGGTTCACCTTCCAACAGGACAACGACCCTAAGCACACAGCCAAGACAACGCAGGAGTGGCTTCGGGACAAGTCTCTGAATGTCCTTGAGTGGCCCAGCCTGAGCCCGGACTTGAACCCGATCGAACATCTCTGGAGAGACCTGAAAATAGCTGTGCAGCAAATACAGGTGTGCCAAGCTTGTAGCGTCATACCCAAGAAGACTCAAGTCTGTAATCGCTGCCAAATGTGCTTCAACAAAGTACTGAGTAAAGGGTCTGAATACTTATGTAAATGTAGTATTTCAGTTTTTATTTTATAAATTAGCAACAATTTCTTAACCTGTTTTTGCTTTGTGATTATGGGGTATTGTGTGTAGATTTGATGAGGGAACTATTGAATCAATTTTAGAATAAGGCTGTAACCTAACAAAATGTGGGGAAAATCAAGGTGTCTGAATACTTTCCGAAGGCACTGTATGTTTGACTGCATGGTTCTAAGGAACCCGACAACATCAATATAACAACAAACAAACCAATACAACTCCACCCTGAGGACATCCTCACCTTGTTCAATCCTGCTGGCCAGGAAAACCATTTCTCCCTGTGCTGCCAGCTGGTGAATGGACAGGGCTGGAAAGGCCGCATAGGTCAGAGGTCAAGCAGCCATCATTCAATGTTTGATTCAGGTACGTATTGTGTGGTAGTTATGTTTGAGGCTAAGTGATGAGTGACAAATCTAGGATGGAAGCTGTCATATAGATGCCCACTGCTCCGACCTCTATCTTTCAGAGGGGTTGGAATAAAGCAGAAGACATGTTAGAAGTCTGTGTACATTGAACAATAAAGAAAGCACATTCTTTAGCTTAGGGTGAGCTCAGGTACTTACAGTGGACCAGAAGAGGAGTGGAGGACACCTCGTTACCACGGTGCTTGTTGGTGAGTGTTGTCGACTGTTTGATGGGGGAGAAGTGTTTGGTGGTGGACGGGGTATAAACATGACGCACTTGTATTCCCGGTGAGGGCGACGTCTGAATATTACACTCGGCTGAAAGAGGGAAAAGAGACACAGCATCAAACAATTGAGCAGTAAAATACCTCCTGATTTATCTGGGGTCAAATTTTCCCATGATCATGACTCTTAGTTCCATTACATTACACATAAATCATTGGACGACGCGAAGGCATCTTCTTCAGGGGAGTTTTGTTAAGAGCCCCAACGCTCGGCCTGAACATTAACACGCATCACTTGCGCTAAGGTTTTGTAAGCATTTGAACCTTACCTTTCATATCAGTGAGAAATAAGAATTGTAAAAAATTGTACATTCATAAATACCTTTATAGAGTTTGTTCCCACATGGCCATTTCTCCAAGTTACAGCGCGTGTTTGCGGAAGACCGAGGGACCACCTGTGCTAATTAGCTATCTAGATTCTAGCATGCTCCCAACACCTGTGTGTAACGGAAGAATGCCGCCAGAAACGTGGTGTCAGTGAAAAGTACTGTTGGCTGTAACTGTGATAAAGCCGGTTATATTTAGCAGTTGTGAAATTATTTTAATGTGATATTAAAGTAAAGGGCTTTATGTTTCTAGAACCGTATCGTGATTGAGAATCGATTCACGTTTAGATGGAGATTTTGGCTGCCAGAGCCAGTCTACCTCTGAAAATAACAAAAGGTCCTTGGACCTTCAGGAGTAACGGTAGGCACCTTAAGAGTACATTTTGGGCTAAGGTAAAATATGGAAATCACATTGTAATACGAATGAGTGCGTCAACAGTTGGTAGTTAGTTGGCACCTTTAAATAAAACAGAAGCCACCTCCAAGTCGGAGTTGACCTGGTCCTGGATGTTTTTGCTGTCCTCCTCTTTGAGTGACTTGACGAATCTTGAGCACACGTTCATATCGAAGCGGTTGGGCGGGATGAACTTGATCCCCATGGCCACGTTCTGCGCACCTGTGTTGTCCGCACTCCCACCTAGGTGTTCCGACTTGATGCTACTCATATCTGGCATCACACATATCCCCTCCATCTCCTCTGTGACCGAACTGGTCCTACCTGGTACGAAACCTTTGTCCATGACTATGTAATGACACAATGAGTCAGAGGGTCAACTCAGTGTGATGTGGACTGTCTGGTTAATAAGGCTTTGTTCAACACATCACTGTTGTCCCATAGGATAATAGAAGTCAGTGAAGCCTAGAATTGATTAAAACTTAACATCAGAATTGGGTATGCCGAACGTTAGCGCTAATATGCATAAATCCCACAGGAGAGAGTGGGTTGTAAGAAAACAGACAAGGATAATTCCTCATTAACAACATGCATGCAAAAACATCGGATCAAATCAGTCCAGAGGCTTGCATTCCTCATCATCAAGATACTAGCAGGCTAGCTAGCTTCAGTTACTGTCAACATAGCTAGTCGTTCAATTCTAGGGCCTAGCTAGCGACTACCAAATGCTGTCTGACTTACCATTACTGATAGTTAGCTAATACTTTCAAATACATAATAAAGACGAGACCCAACTGACTAACTAATGTTAGTGTTAGCTAGCCCAATTTAGATGAGCCAACTCTCTTGGGTGAACAAGAGCATGCTAGCTAGCATGGCTAGCTAACAGACCCAGCAGAATCCATTACAAGCAACCTAACACCGTTGTTAGTGATTTACATTAATAATAAAAAGAATACATAATTTCTTACTAAATAGCTAACACATTTTGTGTAATGTCCACCAGTGGTGCAAGGAATTTATGTTTTTCGCGCATGAGCACTAAGAATGTATTTTTTTCAGAATGTGCCAGATTGTAAAAGCATGTATGGGTGAACAATAAAACATTCGAAAAAATGCTTTATTCTAGTGCAAGACCTAAAATTATTGAAAAAATGTTGAAAACTCTTGTATTTTAGCACATTTTACAATGAATGACACTATTAATAACCAAGCCTCTTTTTTTGTCCATATTCTGGTTGTGGAGGCCTATATCAATGTACGCCTATCGCATACAAATCTTTGAGGCCTTGGGGACCTGTGTTTTACTTGTGTGTCAGCTCCAAAAACCTAATCTGGGTGAATTAAAGTTTTACCATGACATTTTGCAATGTTTTTGTTAATCCCTTTTAATACGAAAGCTTGGATAATAGATTAGGCTACACTGGTTACTCTGCTGTGAGATTACCTTCTGAAGCACAAAGATCACAGTTTGGTCAAATGCTAAAAGTTGGTTTATGCAATGTTTGTTTTTTGTTACCACAGGTTCTTTAGAACAATTGCTCTATTTTCCTTGAATGACATACAGTATATCAAATGAAATGTCTCATTTGTAAACCAAATCAAAGAAACAGGCAGATTAGAAGTGTGCTAGGTGTTTATCCAATCTATGATGATTTTCTCTCATAAACATGTTTTAAGTAAATTATTTTCATTCTCAACTTAACGTGATAGAGCAGTAGAATATAGCTTGGCCAAAGGGGATCCTTCTGCCGTTCTCCCCATAGTGAGTTATGTATTTATCTCCTATTCACCACACCTTGCTGAACACCTAGTGGGCTTCGGAGTGGAACTCACTGGGAAGAACGACATACATTTTTTATCGAATGCATCTACAAGCATTCCCACATCCAGACCTACCCATTGAGAAACACAACGGCATCACTCCCCAGTTGACTGTATATCTGCAGCCTCGTTCCTTCATGCACTCCCTATGATTAATGCTCTGTTCATTCACTGCGTGGTGGGATTTCCAGCAGGCTCCCCACCACTGCTCTCCCCATGTGGCCCCAATGCAGTGTCGTCTCCCTAACACTAAGCAGTTTCTCCCAATAGCAGGGACTCCTCTCTAGATCCCCTCTCATACATAGCCGTTATCATCGTAATGTTTCAAAATGGCAAAGTGTTCCCAGTTGTTTCCTCACAGGCAACAGACACACACTCGCACACAGTGACTTCACACTCGCACACAGTGACTTCAGTTTATTCCTTGGGGCCAGTATGAAAATGTATGCACACACTAACTGTAAGTCGCTCTGGATAAGAGCGTCTGCTAAATGACTAAAATGTAAATGTAAATGAGTATGTAGGTTGGTACAGTATGTAGAAATGTATATGGTACCCTTCAGATGAAATTAAAAACATTTATTGACCCAGCTAGCTACAGTGGGGAAAAAAAGTATGTAGTCAGCCACCAATTGTGCAAGTTCTCCCACTTAAAAAGATGAGAGGCCTGTAATATTCATCATAGGTACACGTCAACTATGACAGACAAATTGAGAAAAGAAAATCCAGAAAATCACATTGTAGGATTTTTAATGAATTTATTTGCAAATTATGGTGGAAAATAAGTATTTGGTCACCTACAAACAAGCAAGATTTCTGGCTCTCACAGACCTGTAACTTCTTCTTTAAGAGGCTCCTCTGTCCTCCACTCGTTAATGGCACCTGTTTGAACTTGTTATCACTATAAAAGACACCTGTCCACAACCTCAAACAGTCACACTCCAAACTCCACTATGGCCAAGACCAAAGAGCTGTCAAAGGACACCAGAAACAAAATTGTAGACCTGCACCAGGCTGGGAAGACTGGATCTGCAATAGGTAAGCAGCTTGGTTTGAAGAAATCAACTGTGGGAGCAATTATTAGGAAATGGAAGACATACAAGACCACTGATAATCTCCCTCGATCTGGGGCTCCACGCAAGATCTCACCCTGTGGGGTCAAAATGATCACAAGAACGGTGAGCAAAAATCCCAGAACCACACGGGGGGACCTAGTGAATGACCTGCAGAGAGCTGGGACCAAAGTAACAAAGCCTACCATCAGTAACACACTACGCCGCCAGGGACTCAAATCCTGCAGTGCCAGACGTGTCCCCCTGCTTAAGCCAGTACATGTCCAGGCCCGTCTGAAGTTTGCTAGAGTGCATTTGGATGATCCAGAAGAGGATTGGGAGAATGTCATATGGTCAGATGAAACCAAAATATAACTTTTTGGTAAAAACTCAACTCGTCGTGTTTGGAGGACAAAGAATGCTGAGTTGCATCCAAAGAACACCATACCTACTGTGAAGCATGGGGGTGGAAACATCATGCTTTGGGGCTGTTTTTCTGCAAAGGGACCAGGACGACTGATCCATGTAAAGGAAAGAATGAATGGGGCCATGTATCGTGAGATTTTGAGTGAAAACCTCCTTCCATCAGCAAGGGCATTGAAGATGAAACGTGGCTGGGTCTTTCAGCATGACAATGATCCCAAACACACCGCCCGGACAACGAAGGAGTGGCTTCGTAAGAAGCATTTCAAGGTCCTGGAGTGGCCTAGCCAGTCTCCAGATCTCAACCCCATAGAAAATCTTTGGAGGGAGTTGAAAGTCCGTGTTTCCCAGCGACAGCCCCAAAACATCACTGCTCTAGAGGAGATCTGCATGGAGGAATGGGCCAAAATACCAGCAACAGTGTGTGAAAACCTTGTGAAGACTTACAGAAAATGTTTGACCTGTGTCATTGCCAACAAAGGGTATATAACAAAGTATTGAGAAACTTTTGTTATTGACCAAATACTTATTTTCCACCATCATTTGCAAATAAATTCATAAAAAATCCTACAATGTGATTTTCTGGATTTGTTTTCCTCATTTTGTCTGTCATAGTTGGCGTGTACCTATGATGAAAATTACAGGCCTCTCTCATCTTTTTAAGTGGGAGAACTTGCACAATTGGTGGCTGACTAAATACTTTTTTCCCCCACTGTATCTTAAGTGTTTCCTTTGTGCTGCAAAGTCACCATTTGAAGCATGTTACTTCTGCTCGAATAATCTGGAATTACTCATTCGTTTGAGCGGTCAGAGGTTTTCCCCTTCACTGGTCAAAGTTGCAACATGTTAATCTGATTTAGGGGGATATGCCAAATATTTCTCCGTAATCTGTCAAGTCCTGCCATAGAGGAGTGTAGTCCTAAATTAATTAGCTTTTGTTTATTTGTCTGAGTGTTTTCACAGCTAAACCCTTGTCCAGATCAGGAAATTAGGGTCAGACCTCTCTATCCCAACCACTAGTATTTATGTGGCTAGGTCATTTTCAAATGCCACTAATTTAGCTCATAATAAAACGTATTAATAACTTAATATTTTGGTCAGGGATCAATTGGCCAAGCAATAGATATTATTCGATTTTTCTGTCTGGAAATCTGATCTGATACAAAGGATCAAAAGAAAAATCAACCTGCTATCAACAATTATCTCACCACAGCTTTCTTTCTTTGGGTTGTTTATACCTGAGTAATAGGGGCTTTTTTGTATGGTCATGGTAAATAGTTTGTTTTTGAATTGTTGACTGAATAGTTTGAACACCGACCCATTCTAGTCAGGTCTTTTGTGACATCACAATAATTTCTGGGTTTTACGCCTTCCTGAAACTAACTGTATGCAATGCAAATCATAAGACGTGAATGTCACATTCATTATGCTACATCATTTCCTCTACCAGAAGATTATCCTGTTGGAAAGTAACCCATGACTGTGGCGTTGGTAGATTTAATAGATCTGTTTCACCTTCTATTGTTTGTTGGTTAACTTTACTTTCTTATGTGGCCTTGGCTTTCAAAGTTTGTTTATTTTGAGGTGACTGTGAGGCTAATCGACACATGTCTACAAAGCTGCTGCAAAGTGGGGATTTCCTAACTACGTGATTAGGCTTATGTTGCCTGGATGAAAACAGTTGTTCAGCCCCTGCCCTGGAGTACTTATGCAGTTAATTAGTCCCATAACCTCCACTATTGACATACACTTGACATAGCAGCGTTTGGACAGGCAGCCCAATTCTCATCTTTTTTTCACTAATTTATCTTTTGACCAATCAGATCAGCTCTGAAAAAGATATGATGTTAAAAGATATGTGATTGGCCAAATACCAATTAGTGGAACAAAGATCAGAATGGGCTGCCTGTGTGAACGCAGCCTAAATTACCTCTAACCTGTTTGCTGTGTGTGCATAATCTCTCTTTCTGCATGCTTACACACAAATAAAGCAAATATTATGTTTTCATAATAATGTATCATTGCGTATCAAAGTGAATAACACTAT